CACACACACACACACACACACACACACACACACACACTAGGGATTTAACCCCAGGGCTTTGGGCATTCCAGGCAACATTCTCTTAAAAAAAAAAAATGTAGCGGGGTACAATGGCACATACCTGCAATCCCAGTAATTTGAGAGGATGAGGTATGTAGATTGCAAGTTGTTGTTTTAATTTTTTAGTTGTAGATGAACATAATACCTTTATTTTATTTATTTATTTTTATGTGGTGCTGAGGATCAAACCCAGTGGCTTACACATGCTACACAAGTGCTCTACCACTGAGCTACAACCCCAGCCCAGACTGCAAGTTTGAGACCAGCCTGGACAACTTAGGGAAACCCTGTCTCAAAATAAAAAATAAAAGGGCTGTGGATGTAGCTCAGTGGTAGAGCACTCCTAGGTTTAATCTTGTATACCATGAAGGGTGGGGAGAACACAACTATCAGGGTCTATTTAAATAAGATAATGTCCTTTTATTAAAGTATAATTATACATGCTTTAATTATGTATTTTATTTCTAATAAATTGTCACACTGTTCTAAATATCATAGACAAAGAAAATTCATATAATTTGCTTTGGCCTTTCCCAGAGGTATTCAGGCTGATGGCAATCTTAGTTGCAAGCTATCTGTACATTAGATAGGAGACAAAGACTAGGAAAATATCACAACTCTCATGTACCAGGTAATACCCTGAAAGGGACAGCCAAGCTGCTAGTCCTCAATGAGAGTCTCTTAGGCAGAGGTCATTTTACATTTTATTTACAACAGATTAAACCAGACGTTTGGAACATGAGCCTGTCAACAGTCTCAAGCTTGATCAACAGTTTATAAAGTGGCTTGGCAAAAGTTTTCCCAAAAGGGCCACTCTCTCCTAGGAATTCTTTCCAAGAATCAAAGGTGAGATATATAAGGACGTGTAAAAGGCAAATAGAGAGGGCAATAAATAGAAGTCATGAAATGTTGGATCTAACCCTCTCTCTCCAGGTCCTGAAGCCAAGAGAACAAAGTTAGGAGCAGTCAGTTAAATAGCAGAAGCAGACAAAGCAGCAGAAAAAAGTACAAAAAAAAAAAAAAATGTGACTACTGCAGCTCCTGGTAGTTAGAACTGTTCTAAACATTCTCCTTGGGCCTCACTGTTCAAATGCTGAGAAGGCGCCAAAGTCCTTCCCTTTCTGTATCTCTTTGACCTCATCTCACCTAATCACCTCACTCATTTCACTTCTACCACACTACCCTTCTTATACTCCTCAAATAATCCAGGCATATTTTTTAACCTCAGAGCCTTGCCTTTCTGGAACATCTCCCCCTAAATATCTACACAATACATTCCCTCATATCCATTAGGTCTCTAAGTAGAAGCAAATAAACAAAGTCTTTTTTTGGGGGGGGGCGGGGGCTGTGAGATCTACCCTAATAATTTTATTTAAAATTGCATCTCCAAGTCAGGTATAGTAGCACATTTCTGTAATTCCAGTGAGCTGGGTGACTGAGGCAAAAGAATTGCAAGTTTGAGGCCAGACTCAGCAACTTGGCAAGACCCTGTCTCAAAATAAAACATAAAAAGGACTGGGGATGTAGCTCAGTGGGTAAAACACCTCTGGGTTCAATTCCTAGTACAAAAAAACAAAACAAAACAGACAAACAAACAAACAAAAAAAACAACAACCCTCTAGCTCTTTCACCTGTAACAATAGCTCTTAACCTGTTTTATTTTTTTTCCATAGTACTTATTATATAATTATTATTAATCTCCCTTTGAAGGCAGGAACTTTTCTTTCTATTCTTCACTGATAAATCCATAGAGGCTAGGACAAAATCTAGCACACCATTTATGTGGTTGCTTTTGCCATTCTACAAATGAGCAAAGTGATCTCCAGAGAGGTCAAGACAGAAGACTTAAAATGAATACCAGGTCTATCCATCAAGACCTAGTCGTTTTTCCATTTAGACACTAGCTATCAGAATACAGGCAAAAAGCAATCATAAACAGAAAAGAATACTATGCTTCATATTTTTATGTTACTATTATTAACTTTAGTTGAAAACAGTTTATATGAATGGATAAGTTCTTTATATATTCTTAAATTCTCCTTTAAAGGTTTTTTTGTTTAAGTTCTGAGATAAGGTAACACATTTCTTTCCCCATAGTAGCTAATTTCCATGACTAATGTTTCCAACCACAAACTTCCTATCTTTTAATTTCAATTTCTTTATTTCATAAATTATTCTCACACTCACAAGATTTGTTAATCTTTCATCATATATTTAAATGATTCATTTAAAAAAATTCTTTATCCATTTTCACTCCTCACTTTGACTTTATTTTTCCTTTTTATGGGGTGGGGGTGTACTGGTGATTAAACTCAGGGGCACTTAAATCCTGAGTCACATCCCCAGCCCCTTTTATTTTTTATTCTGAGACAGGGTCTCACTATGTTGTTTAGGGTCTCAAGACTAGCTAGTTGATGAGGCTAGTCTTCAATTTGTAATCCTCCTGCTTCAGCTGCCCTAGCACTGGGATTATAGGCATGAGCCACTGCACCTGGCTCACTTTATTTCTTAATTAGGAAAAGTCACTAACAATGATGCAATGATGTTTGCACCATAAACTGCCATTTTACCTATCTAATGAAAGCATTATTATGAATACCATTATTATTTTGTGGTGCTGAGAATCAAACCCAGGGCTTCATGCAATCTTGGCAAATACTCCACCACTGAGCCACATCTCCAGCCCTTTTTAATGTTAATTTTGAGACAGGGTCTTGCTAAGTTGCTTGGGGCCTCCATAAGTTGCCGAGGCTGGCTTTGAATTTGCAGTCACCCTGCCTCAACCACCGAATCACTGGGTATACAGGCATATGCCACTGTACCCAGCCCCCAAAATATTTTTAAAAGGGAAAATAAAGTGACAATTAAAACAAAAACAAAACTTAATTGGCAAAGAAAACTATAACCATATTTTAAAGTTATATTGTGAAAAATCAAACCATAAAGATATGTAATCTAATATACCACCACATTCACTATGAAGAGTTAAGAACAAGTCGGGCATATATTAATACTCTAAAGCTGATCTTATTTGTAGTAGTTAGGACTTGAGTTATTCCAAAGTAGGTACACAGCCTTCACAAAATTTTTTTCTACTATTTTAATATTCACAGAATTTCACTTTCTCTGTATTAAAAATCTTAGCACTTTGCCTTTGAGAGAAAAGCAAAAAATAAGCATCTACAAAACAATATGATCTTCACAGTATTTATGCTATTTTCTTTCTTTCTTTTTTTGGTGGGACAGGTGTACTGAGGATTCAACCCAGGAGCATGCTACCACTGAGCTACACCCCTATCCCTCTTTCTTTCTTATTTTGAGACAGGGGCTTGCTAAATTGTTGAGGCTAGCCTCATTCTCCTGCCTCAGCCTCCCAAATCACTAGGATTACCAGTGTGCACCACCACATGTGGCTATACTCTTTAGAGTTGCAAAAACAAAGTCAGGTCTCCAGAGCTAGCTACCAACAATAGCCAATAATGTTAAAGTTTTCAGTAAATTATTTTCATACCTGTGTTTTCTTATGAGATACTTGCAATGCCTCAATAAGTAATCTTTTGAAGGTCTACACAATTTCAGTGACCAGAAGTCATCAAGTCTCATCTTTGGAGAGCAAGATTTTCCTGGATTTCCACCAAATAAATAATGAACCTATGATAAACACAACAAACCAAATTTTTAAAAATTCATATTTTTCAAGAAACTATAGAAGCCCTGGTATAATGTTTTCATTTGGGTAGTAATATGTAATACTACAAATATAATTTTTACCAAAGACTCCCCTCCCCTCCTCTTCTACCCCCAATGTCCCCCAAACTTTTTTTTTTTTTTTAAATAACTAGGAATTGAACCTAGGTCTCATGCATACTCTACCACTGAGCTATAAAGCACTATGGCTCTTTCCTAAACTACACTTCATACTGAAATAAGTTGTATTACCACAATTAGAATGATAGCAGAAGACATAAAACAAAAGCAATGATAGAAAAGAAACAAACAAATACTTAGGGGAAGAATTTAATCCAAGATAAATTGGTGGAAGACAACAAATAATAGGCATTATCAAGTTAATCAAGTATTGATCAAAATAGCAAATAATATTTTTTTTAAAAACTGACATACGTGTTGAATTGAATCACTGAATCTAAAAACCTTATAAAAATATTATCTTATTTTAACCTAAATACCAAATATTAAATGGAACATATAATTTGTAAAATAGTTTTAAAATTATTTAATTAATACCAAAATAGAAATGTAAAAGGAAAGCAATAATGATTTCACTATTATATTAGATGCTTTGTGGCCCGCATCCCCCCCAACCCTTCCTGCCCCCTACCCCCCCA